GGCGCGGGGCCCAGGGCGAGCGGCAGCTGCTATTCGAGTCAGCGACAAGATAAAATGGCCAGAAAAGCCGAGGACCTCTTGGATTCATGACTGTGATCCCGTCGAACATTTCTGTTCTCACAGTATGTTTTAAAATTAAATTTCTACCTTGAACGCGTTAAACCGCAAGCGCTCTCGACAGTCATGGCTATTTGGCTAGCTAAGCCACGAACCCCCACACCCGCGCAAAACACCCCAAAACGACCTGCTTTGTAGTATTGCAAAATGATCAAAGCTCCGAATTTAAATGTGTATTTGTTGATTGGCAAATGGTAGATGACACGCAAGTAAAGCAGATATAGTTATCCTTATGCACGGTCATCACCTTTTTTTATGAAATTGGAATTAGGGCCTCCGACACTTAGCTGTCAAACCAGGACTATTAATGTGCGGCAAAGCGAATTACATGTAATATACCACAGGTACATTACAATACTGTAATCAGCGACCAAAGAGTTCACAGAAGTTGTGAGGGCTATTTCACACGTATGCCGTACGCTTGCGTCAGTTAACTGAAATTGGGAAATAGAATATGTGTTGTTATTGCCAACTAGTATACATTCTGAACGTCTTTATGTGCAATGAACAATTCACTTGAAACTGCCCGAAGCATATTGGTTTCTTGCAAAACAGTCATTTTCAGTAGGCTACTTTGAATGAATTCGGTCCAGTCGCAGCAGTAGAAATAGTCTGGCACACACCAGCATAAACATTTCGATAAATATTTGTAAGACAAATATAAAAAGTGAAGGCACGATTGACGCTTTGATACAGGGCATTTCTCTCAAATCATGGAGAGGGTCCCCAAATTCAGACGAGAAAGGCAAATAACTATTGCATGGAAAAGGGGGGTGCCCCCAGGGACTTAAGGCATACTTTAAAAAACAAACAAACACACACAAAAAACCCCTCTGTTTAAGTCCCCTTCTCACAAATGCGCAATTTTAAGATAGATTTTCTAGGGCCCCTTTGAATCATGGGCCCATAGGGGCCTTTATTGTCATCACTTACCCGATGTGTTTGATGAAGCAGTAAGAGGGGATTGCGCTACACATGGAATTGAAATGTTTTTTATGGCCTTTCGGTGACGATTGGGTATTTTCCAAAAGTATCAGCATTTTTTTAAATTCTCACTTCTCTTTTGTTGTGTTTGCAGCTTCATCCTTTGATCTCGACTGTTGTCCTCAGCCATGTCGTCGCGTGTGTTGCTGCGGCAGCAGCTTATGCGAGAGCAAGCTCAGGAGCAGGAGAGACGAGAGGCACAGCAGCAGGCCTCCGCCTCTCAGCTCCGGCCCACTGACTCCACTCCCGCCATCTCCGTCTCACTGCCTCCAAATACTGCCCGCCCGCCTCCAGCGCAGGTGCCCGTGGAGGTGCTGAAAGTAAGCATGTCCTCCTCCGTGTCGCCCGTCTGCCCTCAGTGTGCTCAGTTTGTCGAAAACAGAACCGAACGCCTGCTTTGAATGACGCAGGTGCAGACCCACCTCGAGAACCCCACCAAGTATCACATCCAGCAGGCGCAGAGGCAACAGGTGAAGCAGTACCTCTCCACCACTCTGAGTAACAACGCGATTACTCAGACGCTCGGTGTATCGCCTGTGCCACAGTGCAGCTCTGCCCCTGAGGTTGCCCACACTGCCAACAGCGCCCCTAACAGCCCGATGGCCCTACTTAACATCAGTTCCAACAAGGAGGAAGTATGCCCAAGTCCTGTTCTTTCTTTTTTTTTTTTTTTCTTCTTTTTTAAACTGCGGTTTGCTGATGCAGCAGATGACACAGTCTTGCCAATAGTTGCCTCTCTGTGAACTAGCAGTGTGTTTTTGGAGAAGTCTGAAGTCAAGCCTTCAGCTCACTTTGTACTTAATGACTTTTGGTTTGTTCTGCGGGGATGTGGCCCCAGGTCCCACTTGAACGTTGCATGCCTTTTGTCTTCATATACTTGTTGGCCTGGTGTCACAATAGGATGTTAAATACTGCACCGGCAGATTAACCGTGCCACTTCTCCGCTTGCGCGTCTATGACATGAGGCTGCTTTACAGCTTGTGGAATTATTTTTTACGACTGAGAGCTTTAGATCTAGTCCGTGTAGAGTATAAGCATTGCTTGTATATGATCCGACCCCGAAAAGCTGGTCAGATTGTGCTACATGTTTCCTGTCATCTATTGTTTCTAGATTGAAGACGTTATCGACGACATAATTAGTCTGGAATCCAGTTTTAATGACGACATCATTACATTGATTGACTCGGGTCTTCAGTTACCTAATACGGTAAGAAAAAAACAAAATCTGCTTCCTTGACCCTTCAAATGTTTCTACGCTTGATTTTCACTAATACATGACATGATTCTCGAAAAACAGTCACACCACCTTTTGGGGGGGGGGTCTTCCTCGAATGGAGCGTCTTTTATCTGTGTCGGAATCCTGAAGCAGGAATAGCTCTTTGAGTCTTTGAGTGGATATACAGTCGAAGCAGTTGACACTTACTCACCATTTGTCACAAATGTGCCGCCTGGGCGGGGTTACCAGTAAGAATACACAGCAAGAAGTCGGCCAATGTGTTAGTGCTCATTAAAACGCTACAGAGTTTACAGGCACAAAGGAATTGCTCACCTTTTTCCGCTTAACAGAAAATGAGGATTATGGTGATGTTGGAAGAAAGAAAAAAGACACACAGCGAGGTAAAACCGGTTTGTAATCTTTGAAAACGGAACAGCGTAGGATTTTTTTTTTTTTTTTACATGTGGCAAACCTTAGATGATACCAACAGGTAGGCGTGCCAACTTATTGTGCACCGAAATGATGTTGGGCTAAGGATGATCGTTTGTATTTCACCGATTCCACGCCGGATTGAATCGGGTGCCCAGGGAGGTGCTTGCGTTCAGAGTTTCAACAAGAATGGGGAAGTTGTGCTTTTCACACATTCCTCACATTTTGCTCGGGCTCGGCAGTCAGCATGCGTTGCAGCCGCCCTACCTAATAATTTTGTTTGATTTAGCTCCCAGGAAATCTGCTGGATGTGTATCACAGCCCTGGAATGGCAGCACCCACTCTCACTGTCAGCAACTCCTGTCCTGCTGATCTTCCAAATATAAAAAGGGAAATTACTGGTACGGTACAATCTGTGCAATCTACTCGTATGTGTAGCGGAACTTCAACAGTTTCATAGGATCTGCGGAGTCATTTCATGGAAAGCAGCTTTTGTCTTTCAGATGCCGATACCAAAGCTTTTATGAAGGAGAGGCAAAAGAAAGACAACCACAACCTGAGTACGTCGAGATTTGTTGTCTCCTCACTTTGTAAAATCATCTTCTGTTGTTGCCCGACACGGTGCATTCATCATGATTATTTCTTTGCCTGTTTGTTCCTTCTTAACAGTTGAGAGGAGACGGCGATTTAATATAAACGACCGTATAAAGGAGCTCGGAACGCTCATACCCAAGTCAAGCGACCCGTGAGTGCCGCCTCGTTTTTGGGGTGTCTTTCGGAGATTAACGTGTTGTGTTTGCGAGCCAAGTCTCGGCAACATCAGTCTGGTAAAACCATTTCCTTTTGTGTTTACGCCTCCGCACCGATCACAGTGAGATGCGCTGGAATAAAGGCACCATACTGAAGGCCTCGGTGGATTACATCCGCAAGTTACAGAAGGAGCAACAGCGAGCCAAGGATGTCGAACTGCGCCAGAAAAAATTGGAGCAAGCCAACCACAGCTTAATGATGCGCATCCAGGTCGGTGTTTTTGCTGTTCATTACAATCGACTGAATTCGTGACACTGCATTGGCAGTACTTTGGCTCTGGATCCTGGCAGCTGGAGCCAGAAGCGTTGAGAAGCAATGAGTGCCAATTGGAGGTCCTGTGGCAATGTTTAAACAATGTATCAAGAATGCCGTTTGGAACATCTCAATGTGTAAACAATTTCAAAAGAATGACAGTTTGCAAACAAGGAGAATCTATTGGAGGGCGGCAGTAGTAATAGTCTCGTCAGTGCAAAACGAAAAAAAAATGGATCTGATGTGCAAAGATGCAGGCATTGAAGTATTGCAGGTTGCAGAGATATTGCACGTTGTAAACATTGAGCAGGGTTACAAAAGAAAAAGATTGCACGGTGCGGTCGACAGATGCTGATGTC